CGAGGTTCTGGTGGGTGTGAATACCTGTGTTTAGTCCGTGGGGGGAGTGCTTAACTGCGGGGGCCCGGGGACTCACGGTGTGCAAGGTTATGGAGGTGCCACTGTTATGGGGACATGCTGGTGGTCATGAGTCCGTCCTTCGGGGCTCTGTGAGCGGGCAAAGAGAGGTGATTTCCCCCTGGTCTCTCCTGGAGGTGTGAAATAAACAGAGTCCCACTGTTAGGGACTGCTGCTGGAGGTCTATAGTCCGTCCTTCGGGGCTCTGTGAGCGGGCAAAGAGAGGTGATTTTCCCGGACTCTCTCCTGGAGGTGTGAAATAAACAGAGTCCCACTGTTAGGGACTGCTGCTGGAGGTCTCTAGTCCGTCCTTCGGGGCTCTGTGAGCAGGCAAAGAGAGGTGATTTTCCCGGACTCTCTCCTGGAGGTGTGAAATAAACAGAGTCCCACTGTTAGGGACTGCTGCTGGAGGTCTCTAGTCCGTCCTTGGGGGCTCTGTGAGCGGGCAGAGAGAGGTGATTTCCCCCTGGTCTCTCCTGGAGGTGTGAAATACACAGAGTCCCACTGTTAGGGAGTGCTGCTGGAGGTCTCTAGTCCGTCCTTGGGGGCTCTGTGAGCGGGCAGAGAGAGGTGATTTCCCCCTGGTCTCTCCTGGAGGTGTGAAATACACAGAGTCCCACTGTTAGGGACTGCTGCTGGAGGTCTCTAGTCCGTCCTTCGGGGCTCTGTGAGCAGGCAAAGAGAGGTGATTTTCCCGGACTCTCTCCTGGAGGTGTGAAATAAACAGAGTCCCACTGTTAGGGACTGCTGCTGGAGGTCTCTAGTCCGTCCTTCGGGGCTCTGTGAGCAGGCAAAGAGAGGTGATTTTCCCCTCGTCTCTCCTGGAGGTGTGAAATAAACAGAGTCCCACTGTTAGGGACTGCTGCTGGAGGTCTCTAGTCCGTCCTTCGGTGCTCTGTGAGCGGGCAAAGAGAGGTGATTTTCCCGGTCTCCGCCCTGGAGGTGTGAAATAAACAGAGTGCTACATTTTGTAAATAGCAGAATACCTCCATGGCGCATAACTGCACTTTACAAGCCAGGGAAGGTGCCTCAATCCTGGGTATACATTTTGTAAATAGTGCAATACCTCCAGGGCGCATAACTGCACTTTACAAGCCAGGGAAGGTGCCTGAATCCTGGGGTAAACATTGTTTAATTGTTTAAGTGTTTTTAAATGTATGGAACAGTGTTTTGTCTCTTTCAAAACTCTCCCGCCATTGGCCGGATACATGGGGACGATTTTATATTAACTATGGCCGTTAATATTCCAGTGAGACAAAGTACGTCCGCTGACGGGAGTGATGTTCATTTTGTCCAAAAACCAGAGCATTCCCTCAAGGGCTTGATAACACACTCCTCCTCCACACTCGTTAGATTGGAATGTAAATTAATGTGGCAGAGTGTAGGGGGCGGTTTGGAATTGGGCCCAAAAATATGTATTCAATAGATTCCTCTAAGCATTGCATCAGGTCTCCTTCTGAATGTTTGCATTTATTTCACTGACTTGAATGTGCGCATTTCATAACATGCATGTTTCCTGTTGCTGCAGTGTGACGCAGGGAGAATAAAATCAGTTAGTGTCTTGTTATTGTGATATCTGAGTGCACTGTGGCTCCCTACTACTACTCTGTTTCTCATATTTTCTCCTCTCACTTTCACTCCCGACCTCGCTCATATCGTCACTTATAATTATCCCGCTTAATGCCAGAGACGCAGCAGCTGATGCTTTCTCTGCCGCAGTAAAAGCCTCGCTAAGTGTCTGAAAGTGTAAACAGAAATCAGAGGTTACTTTGTTCAAATTAAACAGTTCAAGAGGCATTTCGCACCATTCCTCATTCAGGTTTTGTTGTTTTGTTGCAGGACAAAATAGTACCGTTATCTCTTCTTCTTGCTTGGGTTTTGCATAACTAACTAATTGAGTAATTAATTCATCCCTATATTGAATATTTCCATGCTTGTTTGCAATTTAAAGTGGACCTATCATGCTATATTTAAATAATCTATTGTAGGGCCATACCTATATAAAACATGTCTGTGAAGTTTTTTTTTCAAAATACCAAACAGATCATGCATTTTAGCCATGCCTCATTTCGCTCTATTTGCTGTATTCCAGCCCTGTTTTTGCAAGGGCTGATTCTGTGAGAAGTCTTCTTCGCTGCGTTTGTGGCAGACTACAGCGCCACTTACAGGCCTGGCATATGTACTACAGCGTCTCCAGCGCTTTCGAGCGGCAATGGCCGTGGCCGTGACCCAACCCCCCATTCCCCTGATAGGTGGAGAGTTGCCCATATATACGTTTCTGACGTCAGAACAATTTCAAATCTGTATCAGCTCCGTTGCAGCCCCGTTTTTAGAGATTTGGGTATGGAGGAAAAGAGAGAGGGTTGTGTTTTCTGACACTTGGTGAGTTCCCTGGAACACCGGGGACACATATTCATGTAGAAAAGACGTTCAAAAGTGCATTTTGCATGATAGGTCCCCTTTAAGCTTTTAGTTTTGAGCTCTTTTCCCTTTCCTGTAGTATGTTCTATAGTTTTAGTGCATGTAAATGGTCTGCAAAGGCTAAAATCCCTGTGTTCCCTCCAGAGGGAGTTTCTATCCCTCAAACTCGGTTTTAAATTGTACTTACATACATATTTTATCATAAACTGTCTTTTGTGGTGATTGACATAATTCACCCATGGAACTGTGGGTTGGGGGTATTGTTCCGCACGGACATATATGTGAGCCCTCCTTTCTTCTCTTCCCGGGCTTCAAGCTGATAACATGTGTGTTTCTGATGCTCAATAAAGCTAACTTAGTACCTTCGATACACCGCCTCCGACTCCCGTCTCTCGGCACTACACTTTTTAAGTTAAAGTTACCTTTGGATTGAAATAGTTCACACAACCATTTACCTCTTGAAAATGTATCTTGTGATTAAAAGACTTTGACTACTTTTCTAACTAATGATTTAAATGGGCTCTTTCACTAGAGATCATATTTATTTTATAAAATGTCAATAGTTGCTCTTTTACAACATCATCATTTGTGTTACTGTTTCTATATCTGCACCATGATACACCAAAGCAAATTCCTGAAAAACGTTCTAATTCTAAAAGTCTGAGCACTTTAAAGTACTGACGTGTTCTGCCCCCTGGTGGTCCTAGTGGTTAAAACAATGGAGGCATTCACCTTTAAAGGTGGGGTAGGTAATTGGAGAGAAGAAAACGTATCTTTCGATCCCGTTTGAATTGTGCCATGAATTACACATATGATGTTTATCAATCTTAAAAAATCATTTCCATGTAAAAAAAGTCACAGTTTATCGTAAAACTGTTGAAATATAAGACTATGAAAAATACGCAACTAGAAAGACTACAAATCCCAGAGTCGCGTAAGTGATGTCACAATTGTTTTCCTCCAGTAAGAGATAGCTAAAATCAGCGCCATATAGATATAATCTATCGATATGGCGCTGGCTAAGATAAGATAACTTTAACAAGATGCCTGTGTGCTTAGTACCAGGTTGTTATCATACCAGTAATGGGTCTTGCTCGTTCTTTCGCTTCCCGTCTGATGAAAGGACCAGGAGTGTCTGGATCAAGCTAGCTAGTAGCTAGCACGTTAGATAGCATTACAGCCTTGTCACTTCTATTAGCCTTAACATGAAGTAACATTAAGTAACCCAAAATGTTAAACAGTAAGAGTAGTAGTCATATTTCGTGAACCCTTTGAAGAGTACTGTCACCGGTGTGATCATTCTATAATACACAATTTAAGCCCGGGGGAGAAATGCTAACGCTAACGCTAGCATCGGCGATCTTCTCTACTTCATGCTATCTGCATAAATGGTTGACATTAAACATTAAAAAGACCAGGCAGTTCAGAGAGAATCAAAGGAAGGCAGGCAGCTTTGCATGACATTCTTCAGGACGTGTTTCATTGTGGTGATAGTGAGGGTAGTCAATCGTTTTGTTGACAAGACAGTAGTGACGGCCATCTTGGTGACGTGTGTTGTTGACCAGAGATGTAGTTAATTGAGCGGTTCACACAAACAAATGTGTTACTTCACAGTTTTACGACACATTTTTTTTTTTTGACTTGCAAAATTATCTTTTAAATTGACAAACATCATATGTGTAATTCGTGGCACAATTCAAACGGGATCGAAAGATAATCTTTCTCTCTCCATTGACTTCAATACATCATTTTTCCGAAATAAGGTCCCATGGAGGTCCACCGGAAGGGGAGGGACTTCGCCACTCTATGAGGGCACGAGATAAGTTTGTGCACAGATGGAAGGCTGACAGGCAGGTAGGCCATCCAGTTATTTTAGCCGGGCCGGCTAAAATGATTGGTCGTGCTTTTTACAGTACTACGGCTTCCACAGATGATTTTTTTTGTCAAAGTAGTTAAGATATTCATTGCTATCGGGATGTTAAGAGCATTCCATGGAATATAACAAAAAGTGTATCTCGAGCCGGTTTCTCAAACTTACCTACCCCACCTTTAAAGTGACTTTGAGTGAAGTTGAAGAAGCGTCTCCTCTAATGGCCTTTGACCTGCTGCAGCAGATATGGACTACTTATTGCTGCTTGTCTGCTGATGTAAACAGCTAGGCTCTCTGAGTAATTAGAGGCCTCTGTGCTGACAGGGAACGAGGCTTATCAGGGCCTAACGAGGCCACTGTCAGGGAATGAACCTGCACTCACATCTGACATGAGACCAATTAGATCTGTGACCCCTGCAGGATTAACCTCATCGTTACCTGTCGTGTGTTTACAGTTTAGTGTTTCAGACTCGTTAATGAAGCTCTTCTTTCAGCAAGACACCAAATGGAAAACTTCTGTTCATATCCTTGCAGAACTTAATTGAAAGTACTAATACTGCAGTGTAGAACTGTTACTTATGTAAAAGTATAAAAGTATTAGCTTAAAAAAAATACGTAAAGTACTAAGTAAAAGTACTCACTATGCCAACTGTCCTTTTTCACAATTATTTATATATATAACATTACATTATTCTCAACTTAGAGTAAATGCAATAAACCACAAAGATACAAACTCTTACAAGTCTACTCTTAAATGATTACATCAACATATCATTTATCACTTGCATTTGAGCTACAGCCGCAACCAAATCATAAACGCTGAAAAGCATTTTCCTCATAGGATGATGTCCTAGCGCAATTAGTTTATCATTCATACATCGTTTATTATCGTTTGTACCAAAAGGTGAGACTGTACACCAGGCGGCTGATCTAGAGATTCCACTCATCACACGTTTGCTTCAGCTCAAGTCGAGCTCTCTGTAAAGATACGGGTCTATCTCTCGGAGAGCATCGATCAGAAACCTGCTGGCTGCAGCTCCTTTTCTTCGCACCGTGTCCAGCACCTCTCGGGCTTTATCCATTTGGGGTTTCCCTCTGGCTGATGTCATTTCAGCATTAGTGATCACTTCCCGCTCAAGAAGTTTATCCAGAAGCTGGTCCAGAACAGCTTGAGACACTCTGTTAATGAACTGTGTCCGAACTGAGAAAAGCCTCTGGTCTGCTGGCATTCTGTCTCCTCCTGGGACTCTGTCCTCTGCTGGGACTCTGTCCTCTGCTGGGACTCTGTCCTCTGCTGGGACTCTGTCCTCTGCTGGGACTCTGTCCTCTGCTGGGACTCTGTCCTCTGCTGGGACATTTCTCTGGGAAATTTCCCGTCTTGGAACTGGAAGATAAACAAGCAAAATACTTTGTTATGTAACATTACTTAAAAAAAATACTGAAGTTATAAATAAAAAAACGTGTTCACTCGGACAGATAACATGTACTCTGTGAATGACTTTCCCCCCCTCAGATATAAAGAGACATTTATGTTCCTCAACATTCCCAATGGGGGATTTTTCTTCACTTCAAAGTTATTTTATGTAACATTAAAATGTCTAAAAACGACTACTCCTTTGTTATATATTTTAATGAAGGTTACGGTGCATTTCATCTGGTCTCCTGTGACGGCGTTGTATTCCCTTTAGGCATGCGCCAATTTTATCTGCCAAAGGTCATAAACTGACTTTTTATCCAGTTTGTAACCACAATTTCACCATACACTTATGACATGTTACCATCAGCCGAACAGCATGCAGGGAGAAACTGTGATTTTTAAACACCAAACTAATTCATTCAGAGTTTTTACCGGCCTATATACGAGGAGAGGAGCAGACATTAAAAACATCCTGAACCAGGAACACTGAAGGTATTCTAACCGGAAGAAGCTGAAGACTGCAACTCCTTCAGAACCACAACAAGCTCCAGCTTTTACTATTGTTTGCATACAGAGACTTCTAGTAGCAGAATATGTATTTGTGTGTTTGAAGTATTAATGATGCGCTGCCAACCGCATGGAGCATTAATAGAGATCGACATGAGATGGAAAATTAAAGGAGTCTGTACCTTCCAGTGACACGTGCCGTTTCCAGACTTCATTTCCATCTTGGTCCTGGACCTTCAAATCCACTCTCTCTGTTCTTGTTGTCAAGAAAACTTCAAATGTCGGATCGTAATCTGGTCCAAACATTGATTCAAATTTTTCATGCTGAAAACCAGAAGCAGAAGTTAAAAGTTGATCTGTTTCTTTCCTGATGGTGAATCCACATGCAGCTAAACGTGTGTTAATGATCATTGTGTTTCTTTAGAGCAGTGTTTCTCAAAGTGGGGGGCGCGACCCCCCTGGGGGGCGCAGAGGCATGACAAGGGGGGCGAGAGACCAGGAGGAAAAATGGTTTTTATTTTTTTTTATTTTTTTAAAAATTATAATTCGAAGAATTATTGATTCGAAAATAATATGATAAAGTACAAGCACGTCTGGGTCTCTGTGTTTCATTCAAGCTCGGCTCTGTGTGTGTGTGGAACAAGCCATTTTGTGTGCGTGCGTGCGCGAGCGAGAGAGAGAGAGAGAGAGAGCGCACCGGTACCGGAGATCGTTGTTGTTAGCTTCTGGTGCTAGCGAGCTAGTAGCCGGGTCTCAAACGTTTTGGTCACGATTAATGTAAACAATTATTTCCGAGGCACACGTTTATATGATCATTATAGTTATAAAAAAATAAGAGAATAAATGAAAAACAGGTATGAAATACTATATGACAGTAAAACAAGAATACAGTTTAAAAGGGGAGTGATTTGAGAGATGTATCCATCGATCTCTCATGTTGCTCTCAAAGTGCACCAGATTGATGCTTTTAACTTCAACATTTAAAAAAATATCTTCCCGGGGGAGCATGCCCCCGGACCCCCCTAGAGGAGGTGAGGACCCCCCTAGAGGAGGTTAGGTCCGCCTCCCACTTATAAAATAGCACTTTACCCCTGCTTAAACCTATATGCTGTGAGCTGATTATCGAGCCTTCATTGTAACAGTCGTGGGTACATTGTGTATTTGCGTGGGGAGTGTTGCAGTAGAAAATTCCACTGTAGCGCCCGGTACATTAATGGGAAACCCTAGATGTTTGAGCACCCTCTATGAAACGTCAAGCTACCCCACAGCACCCCCAAAATAAATCTCTGGCGCCGACACTGAGCCTGCAACCCCGTTTTGAAGAAATGTGCAGTGCAAAGCAGGCTCATTGCAGCCACCTGTGATAAGACACACCTTTTGGCCAAATATCAGCAATTTCTTTCTTTTCATTTTTTTGCACAGATTGCAAAGTGGCAAAGTATTATAACTTATTGTTCTATCAAAGGGATTGCACAATTGTATTTATTTTTTGGAGCACACAGACTTATGGAGCATTGTTTTATTATCACTGTTCTAGCAAAGGGATTTTTTTATTTTTTTGAAAGGAATGCTCACGTTCATATTGATGTATTTTAATAAATGTTAACTTGGCCCATTACGTGACTATTTGTGTTGGGGGGCCCCGATTTTTTTTTTCTCCAAAGGGGGGGCCTGACAGAAAAAGTTTGAGAACCACTGCTTTAGAGGAGTATCAGTGACTCACCTCAGGCTGAATGAGGAAGCCCTCAGGTTCACAGTGCACACTGTAACTGTGATCAATGTCCAGCTCACAGCGGGAAGAGATCTTGACCTGCACAGCACGTCCTTGTTTGACAGCAACCTTCAGTAACAGGATATTTGTATCACTTTAGTTCATGCTCACATAGTCAGGGAACATTGATTTAAAGATCACATCTAAAAACAACAAATGGTGACGGACCTGCTCCGCAGAGTGATGATAGATACAATCAATTACAAACATAATAATAAGGATTTATTATTCTCTGTATCGGGACATTTTAAATAGTTATTTTAATTCTTGGAAATAAGCTATTGAAGAATACCGTTATTTTTAACAGGGAGGTGGAATATAGAATACTTATCACGTAACTATTTTAATTCTGTTTCTGTTAATAACATTTATGAAACACAAAAGACTGCTGCCCGAGCGTCAACACATGGCGAGTAAGGATGAGATCACGTGATCCATCTCAGGAAGCCTTTCAGTTTTGTGCTGTGTTTACCATAATGCCTTAAGTATCACAAATGACACAGGCAGACACACATACAAGCTGAGAGAGAATCCAAAAAAACAACAACCATCGAACCATCTGAAGATTCAGTTCAGATAGATCTTACGGCCCGTCCACCCGGCGGCGTGCGTTGAAGCTTCAACGCTTCTGCCCATTCACTTTGAATGGGGTGATGTCACACTTTGGCGAACTGCATTGTGGTTCCGTCGCTTCGCTTTCCTCGCTTCAAAAGTAGAGCAATGTTCTACTTTTGAAGCTTCAACGGAAGCGTCAGCCAATCAAATCATATGCCAGTACAAGCTCTAGCCAATCAAACCACGTGCTTGTTTGTCCGGGGCGGGAGATTCATGTGATTGGTTGTTGGTCGAGTTTCAGACACGCCCACCGGCAAGCTTCAACGCACGCCGCCGTGCGGACGCTGCGTTACTCTCTTTGTGGAAACATCTGTGGTTAAAAACAAGTGTTTAGGCTGACAGTGAGCATGTATAGAGGCTGACTTTACCTCCTCCTTAAGGACGTTTTTCTGCAGCAGAAATACATCCAGTATTTGCTCCTCTCTGCCCGGGGGTCGTAGGAACAGCAGAATTTTGCCCTTTATCCGCGGAAGCAGAACCCTTTTAATGCTATCCCAGACCAGGCCAAAGAGAGAGAGGTGAGGCACCTTCACCACCACGTGAGTGAGTGTGACCTCCAGCGGCTCCAAGATGCTCAGGCCTTCATCAGTGATGTGGACGACAGACAACAGGCCGTCCAGGAGCAGCGCTGTGGAGCAAAGAGCTGGTCATCTGTTGCTTTGCTGCTGAAACAGCTTCATCATATTCAATGTCTCACCACTTTAGTTCAGAGCTAATGTTCATCTAATGTCATTCACTTTGGAGCCTCACTAGGATGCTCCAGTTTATATCCTCCACCTTTTATTCTAATGTTTCATTATTGATCTGTCCCCTGTGGTCTTTCTGGATGTGAGCATTTACTGTTATGCATAAACTTTATTCATTATTTTCTAATCTTCAAGACTGCTGAGATGTTTGTAATCTGCAGTCAGAACAGCTTGACTGAGTCCGCTCTCATGTCTGAGTGACTCTCTAGATGTGTGAAGAGTTCTCTAAAGCTTTCAGGACGTAGAAAGTCTAACTTATAAATGTTGTTGTCTGTTGTTTTGTTTTGTTCATGGTTCAGCCGGACTGACAATGTAAAGAGCAGAAAGAGCAACAGATGGATAACTAAGTAAGAATTAATCAAACTGCTAGCTTAGCATCACAACAGTTACAGAGAGTTAGCGTTGAGTTAGCACTGTTAGCAGCTGAGCATGCTGTGGACTGACCAATCACAGTTTACATCTCTTTAATATTACAGTGAGGAGACTGCAGAGGGCCCAAAGAAAAACTAACTCAGTATTTAGAGCTGCATTGCATCGTCTGCTTCAATAATGATCAATAATTATGTCATGCAACCAACCCGGTATCACGGCAAGACGTGAACATGTGACGATCTACCATGCTGGGAGACGTGAATATGTCACGGTTTCGTCCCTTCAAACGTGACAGTTACACGGTATTGTTAGCATGGCCCAACCAGTGGAGAAATACCCGGAAGTGCCAAGCAAATGGTCTACCTACCTATTGGTCGATTTTTATTGTCAAAATGAGATGTTTTTAATTTATTTTTTAATCATCACACTTGATTTCGCCGTTTTTCTTGTTGCCCCAGCTGGTCGACACCTCTTTTAGCAGAAACAAAGGCTACATTAATGTATTAAATCGATGTTAATCCATGTGTGTGGATCATAGACTGGTGTGGATGTGGAATTAACGGACGTGACGTTGTGCGATTGCGTTGCCAGGCAACGCAATTTACAAACTCTTCAACTACAACCCTAATTATATTTAAAAACATTTTAGAAGGCCTCACAAAATACTTTAATGTAAATTCAAATGTAAATGTGAAGGGATGTGTGTAATGTGATGATTGACATTATTCACCCACGGATCTATGGGTTGGGGGTATTGTTCCGCACGGACATTTTAGTTAACCGGACTTACTGTTGATGTGAAATCCGAAAGAAAATTAAAAAATAAAATAATACTTTATTCCGAGTGTGCTTGCTTTTCTCTTTGGAGGTCATCACATAACGGCATTGTAATACACGGTTCGGCTGCATTAAATATGACATATCTGCCGTAGTTCTGTATTTATAGAGCCCTGATGAGAAGACTTCTGGACAAAAAGGAAGCACTGCCGCCAAAACTGAAAACGTGACGTGGATCATAAATATATAAGCAATTAAACAACATCTTACATTTATTTTCACACAATACGTCTCCTTGCAGTATCAATACTAATTCGGCTGACTTTTATTTTTGATCCAATTGGTAGATAGGTTATTTACACCATAACGGTGCACAGCTGATATAAAAGGACTTGTAGTTTTTAAAGATATTACTGATTTTCTTTGAATATAAGAATGTAAATACTGAGTTGAGAGAATAGTCAGGGGATGTGGGTGATGGGAGACACATCTATGGAATCACAATTTCAATAGCTTACTGTTAAATGACGGATATACCTTTCTGTCTGTGATGTTTTACAAATCAGATATTAGAAGTAAAACATGTGAAATAATATAGCAATATCCTGTACAATTATGTGAAAACATGAATAAAAACTACACATCTTCAGATGTTATACATACACAAGTGTCCTACACTAATAATACACAGTTATTATGGCTGTGTGTACCTTGTGTGCACCGCCTAGTGGTTAAAGCACGTTATTGAATTAGTTGTGTATATGAACCTTAGAAAATCTTGAAATCTTGAAAGGGATATACAAAATAGTCATTATATACAGTCTTTAATTAACTATTAGTAGAGAATAACGAGTAATGAATATACTTTATAGGGATCTGCAGATAAATGTTTAGTCTTCTCAAGCAGCAACTATCAAATATCTCTCCTGATTGTTGGCACTTGACAATCACCTTTCCCTGAATTTTACTCAGGTGTAACTAAAGCCTGATTTAAGGGTTGTTTATATTTCACATCATTAATCAGAATCTGCAAAGTAACTAAAATAAATGTAGTGGAGTAAAAATACCAGGTTAACCTCTGAATTGTAGTGGAGTAGAATTGCTGTTTTGTTTAGTAATGGATATTGAATATGGAATAAAGGTTTTGACAAGACCTGGTGTAACAATAATCAAAAAGGACATTAAAAGAGCTCCAGATGTTAATGATCTAAACAAAACAACACACCTGAAATGTATATTTAAATACTTTATTAAGGGCAGTGAATTCGTTTTTTCTGTATGTTTTTCAAATCAGTGTTATACAGTAAGTGTCATAGACAGTGTTACATTGCTATTATTATCCTTAAAATATATGTAAAACAAAACCACTTATGATCTTTTTATTTGAGTGGTTTACTAATGACAGTTAATTCTGTTTCTGCTATTGATGGTTTCATTTTTGTGAAAAATAATAAAATAATAAAATGCAATAACGTGCTTTAACCACTAGATGTGCCTTTCTATCAGCTGTGCACCGTTATGGCGTAAATACAGTCTATCTACCAATTGGATCAAATATAAAAGTCAGCCGAATTAGTGTTGATACTGCAAGGAGACGTATTGTGTGAAAAGAAATGTAAGATGTTGTTTAATTGCTGATATATTTATGATCCACGTCACGTTTTCAGTTTTGGCGGCAGTGCTTCCTGTTTGTCTAGAAGTCTTCTCATCAGGGCTCTATAAATACAGAACTACGGCAGATATGTAATATTTAATGCAGCCGAGCCGTGTATTACAATGCCGTTATGTGATGACCTCCAAAGAGAAAAGCAAGCACACTCGGAATAAAGTATTACATTTTCTTTCGGATTTCACATCAACAGTAAGTCCGGTTAACTAAAATGTCCGTGCGGAACAATACCCCCAACCCATAGATCCGTGGGTGAATAATGTCAATCACCACATACATTACACACATCCATTCACATTTACATTTTAATTTACATTAAAGTATTTCGTGAGGCCTTCTAAAATATTTTTAAATATAATTAGGGTTGTAGTTGAAGAGTTTGTAAATTGCGTTCACATCCACACCAGTCTATGATCCACACACATGGATTAACATGGATTTAATACATTAATGTAGCCTTTGTTTCTGCTCAAAGAGGTGTCGACCATCTAGGGCAACAAGAAAATCGGCGAAATCGAGTGTGACGATTAAAAAATAAATTAAAAACATCTCATTTTGACAATAAAAACCGACCAATAGGCGCGGTAGACCATTTGCTTGGCACTTCCGGGTATTTCTGGTTGGGCCATGTTAACAATACCGTGTAACTGTCACGTTTGAAGGGACGAAACCGTGACATATTCACGTCTCCCAGCATGGTAGATCGTCACATGTTCACGTCTTGCCGTGATACCGGGTTGCATGCAACACATCGACTAAATGGATGTTTTATAATTTCATTCTTCTTTTTTTGGGGACAAAACAAGTTTAAATGTAAAGAACAGATTTGGTGTTTGAATGATCTTATCTTTGTTAAATTAGTTTAATAAAGCTGATTCATAACCTTTAAACAGTAGTGGATAGTATATGATGCCACAGAATCATTATATAAGTGTGTATTTGTTAACACTAGATGTCTTTACCATCCTCTCTCTCACTGTGTGGCAGGTGGAGCTGGACGACGGCAGCTTCATCAGAACTCTTCACTTCGAACAGCGGCCCTGCTGCCTGCTTGCCAGCTGATTGGAGGCGGCTCTCATCCCAAGGGACCGTCCTGTACAGAAGCTCCGCCTCCTGAGCCATGACGAACACCAGGCCAGTCGAAGCACACTGGAACTCACCTGGACCAGGACACCTGAACCTGTAGACACACAGGGGACAAGTTACTACAACAAGCCTTCACTGGCCTGTGTTCTGACTGACAGCTGTTCATCCAGCTGGAGTCTGACCTGGAGGAGGGTTTGTTGAAAGATCACGTGCATCACGATGTGTGTACACACATTTTCATTAAATTAACAAAATGTCTAGTCCAGCAAGGATCTAGACTGGTACAAGAAAACAATCCTTCCTACACACAGAGGCATTATTTGATTGATGTCTGTTGGAAAGAGATGCAATACCTCAAGGTGAAAGACATGAAATCAAACACAAAAAAATTAATATATATTTGTAATGTGTTTAAATAATGTTTGGTCATGTTATGGGATTACCTGTATGAAGACTCAGTTGTGTGTTCAGGTGAGAAGGATTCAGGAGGCTGGAACAAACAAAGTTAGTTATTTTAATAGAAATCAAGTTAAGTTCTAGCTTCATGAAACCAAACCACAATTCTAGAACATATTCAGACCAATTTGAAAAATGCAAATGAGTCTGGATCATCTGAGTTCATTGTCAATTTAAATGTCATGTCACAGCAGTACCAGCCACACACACACACACACACACACACACACAACACACACACACACACACACGACCACACACACACAACACCACACACACACACACACACACACACATACACACACACACACACACACACAACACACACACACACACACACACCACACACACACACACACACACACACACACACACACACACACACCACACACACACACACACATCACACACACAACACACACACACACACACACACACCACACACACACACACACACACACACACACACACACACACACACACACAACACACACACACACACACACACACACACACACACACACACACACACACACACACACACACACACATTAACCCACAGAGCCAGAGAGGAGCGTACACTAGGCGCAGCGTACCACAGTAATCAGAAATGGGTCCCTGAAGGCAGCATCTCCCTGGTCCAATGGGATTCCTCCATTATGATACTTACACGTTTAGCTCAGCAGAATAATCTCCACATATTAACACCACTTTATGATTTCTGACACAGACTTTATTTCAGGCTAACAACCAAAACCACATTCAGAGAACCATTGACTCTCAGACCAGGGGACAGGAAGTGATGAAAGGGGGTTTTAGGACTCATTCCTGCAGTTGGTTTGATTCTCTCTCACTTGTTCTGTTTGCGCAGCAGCAGCCGGACGTGGTTGAACTCGGGTCTCTCGGTGGGCTCCTCCGCCCAGCAGCGCTGCATCAGCTGGCCCAGCTCAGGGCTGTGGCTCTGGGGGTCAGTGGTGGGCCGGAGGCAGGGCCACTCTCCCAGAACCACCCGGTCAACGATCTCTGCAGGGGGGGGGGGGGGTTATTACTGCAAATGTTTACAAGGATTGTAATCATTTCCAGTTTTGATGCTGGAATCAGAATCAGAATCAGAATCCCTTTATTCGTCCCACAGAGGGGAAATGTACTTTGTTACATTAGAAAAGAGCCACGGACAGCTTAATGTTAACTAAGAAGCATGCATAACAATTATATTATACGGTTACATGGTGCTTTACCAAAGCACGTTGCCCAACTACATGTCCCACAATGCATTTCGTTTTTTGACACGCGCACTGAAGAGACTTGCAATTATTAGCCCTAGACTTCTGCTTTCAGACGTAGTTAATTATGAAGTTATTACCCTATCCGATAATAATCCAATGCAGAGCCAATAATGTAATATAGTACATTATTTTATATATATTAAATAGTTATATAGGTCTATTTTTTTATAGTCTTAAAGTTACAACCGGCCCTTTGAGTGCAACTATAATGCGAATGTAGCCCGCGATGAAATTGAGTTTGACAGCCCTGGATTAAGGGAACTCAGGGATTTTAGCCTCTGCAGCCCATTGACATGCACTAAAACCTATAGAACACACTAGAGGGAAGGGAAGCCCCCAAAAGCAGAATAGGGCTCCTTTAAGCTGAATAATATGACTTGATACAGCACAGGAGAGACAGGGCAATACAGAGTAAAGAGCTCCCTGTTAGAGATGGGAGTTTTAAGTGAAACCTGTTTTTCCTCCATCATTCATAGAAACCCTCTCTGCTCGCCTGCTTCCTGCCGGCTGTGGTTTGGAAACAGAAACTTTTCCATGTCTTCTTTAATGGTTCCTCTGTGATTTCTAGCTGTTCGCACGTTTGACTGTGAGCCTGTTTCAGAATAAATGAAGCCTCTGCACATCAATTCCTGGAAAGCGTTTTTGGAAATAAACCTGGAGAAGAAGGAAGACTGCCGAGTCCAGCTGGCACGCAGAAGAGCCACAGAGATGCATTTCACTAATGAGGCAGAAAGAGCTGCACAATCACACTTTTAAATACAGAAGGAGGACGAGCCGCTCTGCAAAAGCTGCCTGCAGACGAGGACGAAGTATTCAGAGCCGTTACCTAAAAGTACCTTGACTGTCAACATACTTCATCTCAAGGTAAAGTCATACGTTGGAAATCTCAAGTAAAAGTGGACACAAGTTTTAAAAGTAAGAGTACTTATTCTGCTGTAAAATTGCCTTTAAATGTGATCAATTATGTGACATTATTAATATGTAAGTGTTTCTTTCTTTACTTTTTATAATGTATTGAATATGTTTATGAACTTTTTGGTATTAGCTTAATCTTTAGAGATGCATTAAGATTAAAGTTAACTTTTAGTTTAGTTTTATGCAAAATCTTAATCTGAAAGTAGCTAAAATGATGATAAACACACTTTGACACACCAAATCAGCCAAGCCATTTTTTGTATCTATTGTCTGCATATGTTAATTAACGCAATTTATGCTAATCGTGCGAATGTCCCAACATGCAGGTTAGCATCCGGCAGCTTCTACGTGCTGGAGACCCTACTCTACATTTCTATCATAAAACTTTGTGGTACTCAACATTTAGGGGTTCACAACAGCACTCTATGAGCTGGTACACAGAGTACTTTCTATACCTGGTAAACAGAGTACTTTCTATACCTGGTACACAGACTACTTTTATACCTGGTAATCAGACTACTTTCTATACCTGGTAATCAGACTACTTTCTATACCTGGTAATCAGACTACTTTCTATACCTGGTAATCAGACTACTTTCTATACCTGGTAATCAGAGTACTTTCTATACCTGGTAATCAGAATACTTTCTATACCTGGTAAACAGACTATTTTCTATACCTGGTAAACAGACTACTTTCTATACACGGTAAACACACTACTTTCTATACCTGGTACACAGAGTACTTTCTATACCTGGTATTCAGAGTACTTTCTATACCTGGTAATCAGAGTACTTTCTATACCTGGTAATCAGACTACTTTCTATACACGGTAAACAGAGTACTTTTATACCTGGTAATCAGAGTACTTTCTATACCTGGTAATCAGAGTACTTTCTATACCTGGTACACAGACTACTTTCTATACCTGGTAATCAGAGTACTTTCTATACCTGGTGATCAGAGTACTTTCTATACCTGGTAATCAGACTACTTTCTATACCTGGTAAACAGACTACTTTCTATACACGGTAAACACACTACTTTCTATACCTGGTAATCAGAGTACTTTCTATACCTGGTAATCAGACTACTTTCTATACACGGTAAACAGACTACTTTCTATACCTGGTAATCAGAGTACTTTCTATACCTGGTAATCAGACTACTTTCTATACACGGTAAACAGAGTACTTTTATACCTGGTAATCAGAGTACTTTCTATACCTGGTAATCAGAGTACTTTCTATACCTGGTAATCAGAGTACTTTCTATACCTGGTAAACAGAGTACTTTTATACCTGGTAATCAGACTACTTTCTATACCTGGTGATCAGACTACTTTCGATACCCACCTTTGGGGGTCTCCCTCCAGGTAAAAGGCTCCGCGGCGCATTGCCACCTCCTGGAGGACGATGCCGAAGCTGAAGACGTCTCCTTTCTGAGTTCCCTGAGGAGGAGGCGCCTCCATACGCAGCAGCTCCGGAGCCATCCACAGCCTCTCTGCATCACAGGGGGAGAGGGGGGGTTATTGGAGGGTTTCTGTGCGTATAGTGGAGAAGCAGCTTCCAACTTCAAAGGTTTTATTCTCATATGCACATAAGCTACAGTTTAGAAATGGCAATGAAATTCTTCTGACCTGAGCTCCTCCAACAATGCAACATATATAACAAAATACAAAAATACAAAATAGTGCTAAAAGTCTATGAACATGTAAATAGAATATGATATGTACAAGAACAGAAGATGAAATAAAAAATGTACATTAAAGGGGACCGATCATGCAAAATGCACTTGTGTACGTCTTTTATACATGAATATGTGTCCCCGGTGTTCCAGGGAACTCACCAAGTGTCAGAAAACACAACCCTCTCTATTTTCCTCCATACCCAAATCTCTAAAAAAGGGGCTGCAACGGATCTGATAAAAACTGATCCAGATTTGAACACTGTCCTGACGTCAGGACGATGGCGCGACGGCTATTGGGGAAACACAGAATCAACCCTTGCAAAAACAGAGCTAACATTTTTCAAATTGACCAAATGAGGCATGGATAAAATGCATGATCTGTTTGGTATTTTGAAAAAAAAAAAGTATAAATATGCCTTATATAGGTATGGTCCTACACTATATTAGTAGTTATAATGATCCCCTTTCAATCACATTAGTATGCATAGAAAGTGACAGGTGCTGTGACAGGTCACACCTACTACTACTTATGCTAATGAGCCCCTTTGATATGTTAATGAGCCCCTTTGTTCGAGGTGTTATTGCGTGTAGGTGTGATATCCTTTGATGTGAGGGGTGAGGTGTTGTAACATGTAGGTGTGATATTCCCCATTCTAGTAGATCCTTTGTTGTCTAATCTAATTAGCCTTTGATGTCTGCCCTTTGTTGTCTAATCTAATTACCCTTTGATGTCTATCCTTTGATGTGAGGGGTGAGGTGTTGTAACATGTAGGTGTGATATTCCCCCTTGTAGTAGATCCTTTGTTGTCTAATCTAATTAGCCTTTGATGTCTGCCCTTTGTTGTCTAATCTAAATACCCTTTGATGTCTGTCCTTTGATGTGAGGGTGGTGAGGTGTTGTAACATGTAGGTGTGATATCACACCGACGTGTTATAAGCCTTTGATGTCAATCTAATTAGCCCTTTGATGTCAGTCCTTTGATGTAAGGTGGGTGAGGTGTTATAACATGCCGGTGTGATATCGCACCGGCGTGTTATAAGCCTTTGATGTCAATCTAATTAGCCCTTGAAGTCAATCTAATTAGCCCTTTGATGTATGTCCTTTGATCAGTGTTTGTAACTAGTATTAAGACAGTCTCTTTGAAGTTGTGTGAGACTGTCTCGCACCCCGTCCTCCTCCCACCCCGAAAATAATAATTTAAAAGATCTTAATCCCCCTTGATCTTGTATTTGTAATATTTTAATTACTTTATTAACTATAAGAAAGATTTACTGGTATGCTTCCCTAGATGATGTAAATAGTCTAAGTGTCATGTTAGGGGGACATTACGGAACTCAGGAGTCCGCCCTTGGAGGCTTGGAGAGCGGATAAAGAGAGGTGTATTTACTGGTGTTGAGCCCTGGATGATGTAAATAGTCCAAGTGCCGTGGTAGGGGGACATTACGGAACTCAGGAGTCCGCCCTTTGAGGCGTTGTTAACATTAATGCTTTTTGCTTTTGTTTTTGTTACTAAGATACTTTTTAGATACACTTTTGAAGTGAGCAACACTTTACAACTGGTAGAAAGTTAAGTACTTTGTATGGAATTGGGTTTTATTTTAGAGCTGTTTTCAGTGAGACAATGCAGTTTCTGATCATTTTAAGTTTTCAAGTTTCAAGGCTTTATGGCATATGCCCATTAGCTACAGTGTAGATATGTCAATGAGAAACATAGGTCACAGGCTCCTCCAACAGTGCAACAAATATATATATACATATAGAGCACATAAAACAGATAAAATACTGCAATAGAATGTTTTGATATGACAGATTTGTGCGTAATTCTCTCACAAAGGAACTGTAAGATACACGTTTATGTATGGAAACTTTATAACTTGGTAAAATATTCATTCATTTCTAATGAATTACTTGACTAACATTACTTTTTTTAAATATATGTTTTTTAGATGCTTTACTTTGATTTCTTTCATGTTATTTTAACACAACATTACTTTTTTCATATTTTTCAACATACTGTGATATTTGTTTTTTCTCTCCTTTTTCCATTATATTTTTGAATATACAGATACTCAACGCAATAAGTCCCACCCCAATCAGCAAATCATCCAAAACTAAGGACCCCCACTAAGACGAACAGATTTTCTTTAAGACTGTGACTCTTAAAGGCACTTGGGGATTTTAGTAAGACAATCCAGTTTTCTGGAAATAACTTAAATGATTTTTGTTTTTTCTCCTACAAAGATACTTATAGTTACACTTTAATGGATGCAAAACTTTATAACTTGGTAAAATATTCATTAATTTGTAATGAATTGAGATTCTTAAAGAATCAAACTCTAAATGGAGAGTTTGTGATTTTAACACTGTTCCGATGAAACAATGCAGTTTTGATAACTTCACTTGACTAACATTACTTTTTTAAATATATGTTTTGTTAGATGACTTTACTGATTTTTGCTTTTTTCTTCCTTGCTTTTGTTTGTGTTACTAAGATACTTTTAGATACACTTTGAAGTGTGCAACACTTTACAACTGATAGAATAGTACTTTGTAAGGAATTCGTTTTCTTGTTAGAATATAAAGTACTTTGCAAGGAATTGGGTTTCTTAACAATCCTGCTCCACCATTAAATCACTTAATCTGCTACTTCCAGGCAAAGCTTTAAAACTTGTATCGTGTATTAAGTCATGTCTTGGCAAAAATGAGAGTCCTGGGTGCTTTAAAACATTTCTTAGAACATTTTGATATATTCAAACTAGGGCTGTCAAGTTAACGCGTTAATAACGCGTTAACGCAAAAAAAGATTAACGCCACTAATTATTTTAACGCGATTAACGCATGTGTATTTTTTGTCCTCGGCCGCCGTAGTTTCAGAGCGCATCGAGTTTAAAATACCATCTACAAGCTGATGCTGACAGCCCCGCTCCTGCTGCCCGCTTGTGGCAGACCACACTTCCACGCTCACCGGCAGGCCCGGACTGGCCATCGGGAGGACCGGGAGGGTGTGTGTATGTGTGGCGCGAGCGAAGCACACCTTACGTGTTGTTGTTAGCATCTGGTGCTAGCTAGCTGAGCTAACGGATATAAGGAGCTGTTTCAATGAAAACAGAGGAGCGACATTTCGCCGACAACTGCGCCGAGCACTTGACTTTATGCAGGTAGCCAGACAGCACACTCAGCACGGATAGTGCCGGAACACAGCTCATACACACAGGCATATATGCCTTGAGCTGCACATAGCTCCAACGATCCTCCACATTCACACACACACACACACACACACACACACACACACACACACACACACACACACACACACACACACACACACACACACACACACACACACACACACACACACACACACACACACACACACACACACACACACACACACACACACACACACACACACACACACACACACACACACACACACACACACACACACACACACACACACACACACACACACACACACACACACACAGTATTGTATGAGAGAGGTTCTAGGTTGAATTGAGGCGAATATTTGTAATGTTCAGAGGTTGTTGTGTTTAATATTCATGAGAATATTTGTCATTGTTCAAATGATAATAAACAAACATATAAAGCATAGTTGTACACTCATATGTTGATAAGAGTATTAAAAACTTGAAAAATATCCCTCTAAGGTACATTTAGAACAGATAAAAAATGTGCGATTAATTTGCGATTAATCGCGATTAACTATGGACAATCATGCGATTAATCGCGATTAAATATTTTAATCGACTGACAGCCCTAATTCAAACACATAATGAACTGCAATGACTCTGGCTCACTGCTGCATCACATTTATTTTACACTGTTGTGAGGACAAGACTGTGAGACTCTCAGACCCTTTGTTGTCAATCTAATTAGCCTTGATCTACAAAAAAGTCACCTTCTACTTTTATTTGTCCTCTCTAAATTAGATTTAGGGTTTTTAAAATTCTGAAAAGGCGTGTTGTGAGGGGGAAAAAACAGATGTATGTATGCGGTTTTGAATGGTGGCTGGTTGATGAAAACTGATGCAAAATAAGGGGTCAGGAATAATATGGCTTGAAATATGAGCAATCATGTTAATAGCTACAGATACGGTAAAGTACTACAACAACAACATAGGAGTGCTTATACTGTATGTTGTAAAAGCAGGACAAACAAATAAATAAAATGCTGCATTGTTTTTGAAACAAGAACCATATGCCCAAGGCATTTCTACATTTAGATGACATGTTCAGAACTCAGTACATTTGAACCAATAACTAATTTAACCATCAACATCAATTTAAGTGCACACAGCAGTGCAAACAAAACAAAAAACAAGCTTGTGTGCATCAGACAACTCAAATTACTCCACTTTAACCATATTTAGAATGTCCTCATTTTAACTAAAGTAATTTAACCTAAGTGGAGCCAACCTAAGGAGTGGGCACTACAGTCAGGGACTAGCTTACTTTTTAACATTCTACTCAAAGGGCCCGTAAATATTATCTCCGCCAATATGCTATATTAAATTATCATTAAAATAATTTAAAAAACTCATAGTATTTCATGTTGAAATGATCAAGGTCCAGTCAATGTTATGTTAACACAAACAAAAGTTCTGTTTTATATGTTGAAATATAATTTAAAAAACAACGATATAGTATTTTCAAGTCTTACTTTAGTATGGCAAATTTAAGAATAAGTCACATTAAAGTTTTGTCATGATTTTCCGTAAAAAAGTCAAGTATAGTTTGTCAAAAGAATATGAAAAAAAAATCATTTTGTAGAGTAGTATGTTGAAAAT